AGCTTGGCAGGATGGGGTGGGGGGGTGCCTTCAAGTCACTCTTGATTCTTGGCTGTACAAGATCATGCAGTTTTCTTCCAACATTTTTTGGAAGTGGTTTGCCATTGCCTTCTTCCTAAGGCTGAGAGAAAGCCAGCTGGCTTGTGTCTAAGGCAGGACTAGAATTTATGGTCCCCAGTTGCTAGTCCAGTACCTTTAACCACTACCCCAAATTGGTTCTTAATACAGTATTTTTCTTTTTTTTTTTTTTAATAAATGTTCAATTTTTAAGCATTGCTGGCTTTATTGTGCTGGTTTTTAAGTATCCCTCTCTCTTTTTAAATTTTCTCATAAACTGCTATAGGCCCCTCTGAGATGGAGAGTAGTATAGAAATACATAAATGCATTTTATAAAGTAAATAGTTAACTTTTTGAACCATTGCTCAGTTGTAGATTTACAACAAAAGAAATTCTCCACAAGTGACCCAGAATACAGAGATTGGATAAGATTTAGATTCAAATTCCCATTCAAATTCCAGCTTTGTCATAGTTGGCCTTCAGCCTCACTGAACTCAAATCATAGTAATGAGGCCAAAATGGGGCAATACTATGAATGCTGACTTAAGCTCCATGGAGGAAAGATGGGATGTAAATATGATTTAAACAATCTTTAATTAATTTATTTGTTTCTTTGCTTAAAATGCTATGAAGTAAAGGTGTGTATCATTAGCACATTGTTAACACTTGCCTCCAAATCTTTTAATAATTGCCCCAGCACCTTCCTAGAAGGAGGCCAAGATAGTGCTTTGAAGTGTCCCGTTTTCAACTGCTCAGGTGTTGAGGAAGAGTCATCCAATATTACTGTCTAAAATTATCTCTGCAAGGAGAAGTGGAAGTACTGTAGAACATGACTTCAGTCCTTCTTATTGAGATGATTCAGAAAGTCAGTGGCATTAAATTCTACTGAGGAATCTAGAGAGCCAGAAGGAACAAAACTTACATTTTCTCTGCCTCTTTCCCACAGAACTCACCCATCAGGCTGATTCAGACCCAAAACCAATCCTAAACCCAGGCTAAAATGGGTCAGAATAAACCAAGAACATCTGCAACTGTACAGGTACTTCTTTCTTCGTCTCCAAAAGAAGTATTTGTGATTGGTTACTGGTGTCATGAAACTCTGCAATGAGGGAAGATTTTCTTTTTCAGGAAGAGATGCAGTATTGCCTCCATCACACAAAGATTTATTTACCATTCCCTGGATCTTCCAAATCTCTCCATCCCCATTAGCTTCAATAAACCAATGTAGGCAAAGGTCAAAATAACAGAGGCTAGAAAACTATAAGCATTTTGTCTGTGTGCTCAGGTCTCAAAAACTTAAAGTGATCTGCCATAATTGGACCAAATGGCACACTGGACCTTTTAAGAGATACCACATCAAAACCAGTGTGCAAATCAGCATGAAGATGAATATTATTATCTTCAAAACGCCTTTTGATTTTCTCACAAGCTTCAGAGGGTGTCCAATATGAAACTGCATCTGAGGCAACCACTCTAAAAACCTCTGGTGCATGGCTACTTGAAAATTCAGTGGTGGCTGCAAAGTAAGCTTCCAGTGTGCCCTTATCACCAAATAGAAGTCTTATTCTTGTGTGAATTGTGTCAGCTTCAAAATGAATATCATATAACTTTCATCCTGGCTGTTCTTTAGTTTACTTTATTCCTTGAGACCAATGAGAATTAGACTCCATACACTATATTGTCTCTCCCCCACCCCCCACCCCCCATACTCGGTGATAGAATGATAAGCTTTCGTTCCTAAGACATCATCAGAAATATATCCCACATGTGCAGTTCAACCTTCTTACTAATTATTTATCCTCTATTCTCCCCTTGGATTCCACCTCCAGTTGTGTCATTGTGACACATTATGCAATCAGAGTTCAGTTGATTACCATGATGAAGGTGATGGGGATTTACAAAACAACGGTCTCTGACATCATTGAATGAATCAGCCAGGCAAGCAGAGGCAACCAGTTAGAAATGGCAAAGCTGCTATAATGATAGAGGAAAACCAGGAGCCAGGGCTGATGAGCAGATCCTTAATATCATCATTGGTAGGAGAAAACAATTGCACACAGGGCATACAGATAGATGGTTTCAGTACAATTCACACACCATTTTTATGATGACATATTAATAAAAGTAACATTGGAAGGAGCACAAATGCTGAAAATAAGCAGTTGTCACTGGTGCACATTCCATGAAATGGGCATGGATTTGGCAATGAAGAATAGAAGACTGCATGGGGAGAGAAATTTCAATTCCTTGTATTGTTTCAAAAATAAAAAATAGGTTTTTTTTAAAAAAAAATGTTGATAAACAGTTCCACTACTTTATGTCATAAGGAAAAAAAAGAATAGTTAAAAAAGAGAAAAGAGGGAGAACAGTGAGCCTCTCTGCTAAAAGATGCAACACTTAGTAATAATGTGGTATATTTTGGTAAGGTCTGTATTTTTTCAAAGACCAACATCAAATAGAAGAGAAAAGGTTATGTCACCTTCACCCTCTCACTACTGTCATTTATATGCTATCAGCTCATTAAATTCACATTAGGATACTCTACGGGACTTTAGGAGCTATTAGTGCATCTAAAATGGCATAACAAAATCTCAGTTCACTTTAAGGGAGATGGCATTGCGACATTTTGTATTTCATCACTGAGTTATTATAGTCTCAGATGCATTCTGCTGTGATGGTAATGGAAGGAAGAATTCTAGAGAGGAAAGTGGTCCATTTGTTTATCCCAAGGGAGAGAAGGAGAGAGAAAACCAAAGTTTGAATAAAAGGAGAAGAAAACTCAAATGAAAGTTAAATTGCCCTCACAATTTAACCCTTGTACAAATGCAAAAGGAAAAAAAAATGCTTCTGGGATTTTTGTTTGTTTGTTTTAATTAAGCAAGTGGGATATAATGAATAAATGTAAGTATTAGGCAAGGCTTGGCAAGTAGGGAGCTGAATTTCTTGAGTGAAATGCTCCTTAAAATCCCTTATAGCATTATCCTACCCAGTCTGGCATTCTTCTAGATATCTGAGTATAAGATTGCCACCTTAATTTGGCACATTAACAATGTAATCCTAAATATGTCTACTCAGAAAAAAGATGCAGGTAAGTATGAGGTTACAACCTAAAGCTGCAGTCCTACCTACACTTTCCTGGGAACAAATCACTTAGATTCTTATGGCTTCCCTTCATCACAATTATCCATCTCATTTCCATGCACAGCATGGATCTGTGAGGGGAGCAGGATTGCCAGAGATCCTTTAATTCTTCTGATGTGCAGATCCAATTTCCCCTAGTTGACTCTGCTTGTGTCAGCCTTCCATGGTAGACCAGACAGGAAACACGACCTAATGTAACCTTACTTTATAGTAAGGCTACATTAACAGAATCTTGCAAGTCTGTACTTCTCCCCCCACCCCCCGCATCCCCTTTACAGCCCCAGAACTAGGGACTTCTCTTCTAAGCCTCTTGCCCCTCCCACATTCCTGCTGCAGGCTAAGCTGCCTTTTATTTGACTGTTCCCTTGGTTGCATCACGTTGCCCTATCTCCCAAGGTAATTCCCACATACCATTTCAGCTTGACCCTGTCATCCTCTACCCGTTCTCCACATGTGCAGGATTTGAGGAATCAATGAATAAGACTTAATGGGAAGGAGAATCAAAGCCTAATGTCCTTTGTCATTGGGACATAGTGGGAGATGGT